CACCCCCAAATCGATCATGTCTGATGACGTTAACGTCTTGGAAGCGCTCGTTTCGACGACGCCACACCCTCCTACGTCTGTCCAAAAAATCAACAGTGAACCTTGACTCATCTGAAAACATCACATTGCTCCAGCGTCGATTATCCCAGTGTTGACGATCCCTACACCAACGACGTCTTGCCTGAATGTGATGATCTCTCAAACAAGGGATCACGCGTGGACGTCGGGCGCGAAGGTGACCCCTATGCAGTCGATTCCAAATCGTCTGGCCACTCACTCTCACACCAGTGTCTGTTTGAAGACGAGCGCTGATCTGATTTGCTGTGATGACACGATTTCTCAAGGCCAAGGTACGGATAAATCGATCCTGGGCTTGAGTTGTCGCCCTTGGTCGACCTGAGCGTGGTCTGTCCTGTACATATTGTGTATCACGGTATCTGGACCATAGCCTGCTTATGACAGACTGAGAAACATTCATCGTCCGCGCCACAACCGCCTGTGTTGTGCCGATCTGTAGCATGCCAAGGGCACGTAACCTTTCATTTTGGGTAAGCCGACGCATATCAAAATTTGTTTTCTGGTCACTAAAACAATTAAACTGATGTTTCCACCCTGGAATTCAATGCCACAATGACTGTAACATTCAAAGTCAGAGTCGTGCAAATCTTGGGTTGGACCCCCATGATGATCCCAAGCATCACATACATTCCATGCGGTAGCTATTGGTGCGTTTGGGCGTCACATGTAACTGGAAATGTTTCTTCTGTTAGGTTCTATAGTGACTTTTTTCGTAGTCATTTGCATATTTTAGTATTATGCCCCCAAAATCAAATATCCCCTACTTTTTTTGAATAGTATATATGAAAAATATTTGAATTTTTCAAAATAAAAACATGGCAAATCATATACGGCATAGAACCGTAGACACAGACTAGCCATAGACACATAGGATGACTCAAAGTAAATAAAGAAAACACAGCTATGAACTTATCAGTAGACACCAGTGAATACTCAATTGGGATCACATGTTGTTTTCGCAGTTTCTTAGCGTGCCGTTCAAAATTTCGCGGCACACTTAGGAAGATCTCGCGGCACACGGCACACTGGTTGAGAATCACTGTTCTACACCGTTGCATACGATATTAGTGACTTTCACGAAAAGTGTAAACAAACAGAAATTTTAAACCAAGTGCCTGAAATTTTAATTAAGAAATAAAGATGTTGTAATAATTACAATGTCAACTGTACCTGCTCTGAAAATTTCAAGTAAAAATCTTCAAAACTTTGATCACAGCAAACAAATGTAAAATTTGTGCCATTCACTACAGACAGGCCACAGATCAAAACATTATTTCACAAGCTGTAACTCTTATTTCATTTCATTTCTTTCCACAATATCTGTTGAGCTAATTCCTTCACAGGGCATAAACTATAACACCTGGCAATCATCTGAGGTTCACCATGCAAATCTCAAATCAGGAAAATTTACAGTAGACTGGGGTAAATCCTTTACTTCCGGATCAGTTTGAGACGTCCTTAAAGCCCCATTTTCATGTGGACGTATATTGCCGTCGCCCCTGTCCGTCCGTCCGTCCACAATTATTTGTGGACACTCTACAGGTCACAATTCTTATCCGATTTTGACGAATCTTGAAATATAGGTTTATCTCCAACAGACCTCGGTTGCTTTCGATATTGGCATGTATCGGACCGAAACTTCCTGAATTATGGCCCCTGATTGTACGTAAAATCGTGTTTTTAGCTTGTGGACCCTATAGCGGTTATAATTTTTATCCGATTTAAAAAACCGTTTGAATATATCACCGTTACACCCTAAGGATGTTTGAATTCGAATTTAGTAAAAATCGGTCTAAAATTGACAGACAAAATGGCCGCCCCTCGTACTCAAATAGCGTAAAAATAAGGTATATGAATGTTGTGGACCCTCTAGGGGTCACAATTTTCTTCTGATTTTGATGAAACTTGAAATATAAGTTTATAACCCAAAGATCTTGATTCCTCTCGATATTCGCGCATATCGGATTGTAACTTCATGAATTATGGCCCCTGATTGTACGAAACTTGAAATGTAAATTTATAACCCAAAGATCTTGGTTCCTTTCGATATTTGCGCATATCGGATCGTAACTTCCTGAATTATGGCTCCAGATTGTACGAAAAAACGCTTTTTGTTTATCTTATTCTCTATCTATCTCTTGCAAAATGTGAGCGTATCCTTCCTGGCAGCCACTGGTTTGTCTACAGGCTGAATTTTGAATGGATCATCTTGGAACTTTGCATATTTATTCCTTATACAGTAAAGACAACAACTATGTATTTTGGTGCATGCCCCAACCCCCTGAGGCGGTGTCATACACACATTTTTTGTTAATATCTAGTCTGTAAATTTGGCAAAACAAACCCAACGCCTAGCCTTCTTTGCCTCTTGTCATATTACAGTCATCGCAGCCATTTCATATTTCATTCTCTTCATTTTAAAAAAAAAGATCATATCATTCAAAGCAGGAATATGGACGTATATTGCAAAGGTAGCGATCCTCTCGTTTGTAAAATGGATTTATCCCCCTTATTGTGGTAATGATGTTATTTGGTTATTTTCCGAATAAATTTTATAGTTGCTATGAAATGAAGTAAAATGGGGTTTAAAGTGCAGCAATAAAAAAAACTGGCTGATTGAAACCAGATATCTTGACTGACTGGGGCCATGCTAAGGCTGATTGGGACACGGTAGTCATTATATAGCCCAGACCAATTCCCGTAGGTAAATGTCTAAAATCCCAGTATTTTTATCAAATAGCCCCAACCAGCTTTAACATGGTCCCAGTCAGCCAAGAAACTGGTTCGAATCAGCTTTGATTTTTGGTTTTATCTGAACGGGCGGTAGTTGTTATGTCTAATTATTGCAGTCTTAATATATATTGTGTACTTTATGTTCATTTCACATATTGCGTACTCTGTATATTATTTACTTATCTTTCTTTTTATATTAACATGCCTTATTTTTGTACTTTATTCTTAGTCTGTTCTATGGTTTTTACATAGCAACTGACTCTTGTGTTTATTTATGCTTTTATATCATCGTGAGATAATTGTACAGTTTCTATATCATTGAGACTTCATTGATCGTTCTATATATACAGGTGCATTTTGTGTACTTTTTATATTAACATGCTATTATTGTTGTGTAATGTGTAATACTTGTAAACTTTATAGCAGCACTTACTGATCATTATTTTGAGGAAATGATGTTTGGAAAGCGACCATCGTTTGTGATAAAGATCTTTTGGAAATTTGTCACTCCTATTTAAACCACCATCAAAATTTTGATCTGGTAGTTGTGGTATCTTGGTTCTTTGTTGAACATTTATATTTGCACATGGCAACGTCAAATGCGTCTTAAATTTGCAATCAAAGATCTACTATATTTTCTACCTTAATTCTCACCATACTTTAATTAGTTTATATTTCCAGAAAATTCTTGTATCTCTAGTTTAATACCAGCCACCTATCTATGGAGGCTTGTGTATTTCGACATCGTTAGTATTATATGATGGATTATAGTTTTGGGTAATCAAAGAAAGAAGAAACAAAAAATGTCCAGTGTTACAGGTATGTTGAAGGCAAACTAAAAGTTAGTTAACAAACTTTTAAAGTAACAAGTTTGGAATTTCATCATTCAATAAAGTGCAAAGGGGAAATAACTCTTGCCTCGTTAATGGATGCAGACCACAACTACTTTCCCCACTGACTTCAATGTTAATTATGATCTGTTTGCCCGACCTAAACTATTCCTCAAATTTTCGTTCGCCTGAATGATTTTCACTACAGACGGAACAATAAAAAAACATGTCTTTGCACCACATTTTGTATGAGGTCGACCTCTGAAATTTTGAGATACACAAAGTTGAAGTAGCATACTTAAACTTGTAATTATCTGCTGTAATTATCACTGTAAGCAACCCCTTAACTCTGTTATCCTTCCGCCTTTAAACGAGACAGAGAGGGAGAGAAACTGTTATCTTTCCGCCTTTAAACGAGAGGGAGAGAGAGAGAGAGTTGTTATATATAGACGAACTACAAATCTCGAGATGGTGAAATTTAATGGTGTCATGTCTCCTATCTTGGCGGTAGTGGCCTTTTGTACAATATATTGTCCATGACATAGCATTATGACACTTTAACATCAAATCTGCCGAAGATCCGAGATCTTTGGAATGCGGCGAGGGGATCACGGTGGCTAAGTGGTAAGACGCTGGCTCGCTAGCCTGGAGGTCGGGTGTTCGATCCCTGCATTGGCCAATAATGTCCATCCAGATTTTCCGGCGTGGTTCCCCCTTGTCAGTGATGCAGGACGGAGGGTCTGACAAGGACAACTGTCTAGTCGTTCGGATGGGACGAAAACCCGAGGTCCCATGTACACATTGGCGTGCACGTAAAAGATCCCTTGACAGATGGAATTCGAGATAAGAGTAGGCCGTAGTGCCGCTGTCCCGGCAGAATTTCCCTCATGGCACACGGTATGGCGTATTCCCGTCTTCATTAGCAGAACAGTAGGACGTTAAACCACACTTCATTTTATTTCATTTAATGCGGCGATTGTTTTACTATCCCAATGCTAATGTTAATGATTTGTTACTAATCTCGCACGGACTCATAGAACTGCCCGTGCTACCACATAGAACTTTTATTTAAAACAAACGCGGGCATAAATTCTCTACTGGTGCCCACTTTCAGACAACGTTTCACAGGTGTACATATTTACACGTATACATTACTGTATTTCTAATATTTAATTATTGTAAATTTCATTGGGACATTAATTGTTGCCTACGTAAACAAATTTTGATGGGTAGCTAAACTATGCCAAGTATGTTTCCCCCATTATCCTCCCGCCGCTAGTTCGAATCCCCAATACATACTAAAACATGTATGCACCACGTCCCCCATTCCAAAGATCTAAAAAAGACAGGACACAAACATTACAAATTTACAACTTTAATACTTTATGTCATATCGTAATAATAGTAATACAAATTTGGGGCACATAACATTTCTACTGCGGAGAATATCGATATCTGCAGTGAAAAATAACAAAGTATAATTTACACGTGAACCTGAATCTTAAATTAATATACTCAGCAATGAATACTATAGTTAGTCACAGGACAAAACATCGTTACAGGTGCATAATATAAAGAAGTGCAACTAGGCCATATTATTATTAAATATTGTAGTTAATATGGTGGTGAAGTGAAATAAAACAATCTTACATGTATTACACAATTATCTCTCATCCTTACGAACATAATGCCTGTTGATTTTAAAACTAAAAACCGCCATACAATGTAATAATGACGTATTGGTATCCACGTGAGCTACACACATGATAAGAAGAATTATAGTACATACAGGCATCCATAACATGGACTCGTGTATCTACAAATTAGTGAAGATATACCCGGTTCTAACCAGCAAAAATACTTTTAAAAAAAGAAAATTCATGATGACGTTTTTAAGTTTACAGAGACATGAGCTTTATATTGAGACATTACCTGTGACAAAATTTATAATGACTACAAAGAATCGATATGTTGTTAACCACACCATTTTCTACATATAATACTGGAAAATATCTAACATAGATGTTTGCAAGAGGAACTGGACCATAGTCGATTGAAAACTGACCGATTTCTTTCATTACTGAACCATACCCCCAGTATAAGCACTTTTTAAAGCACTTTTAAATATATAGCACTTTAAAGTTTTAAATATATCTAAACACTTTATATGAGAATATCAAACTTGCATTGCATTTCCAGACTTTATCTTCTGAATTTCAAAATTCGCAAAAGATAAGTAATAGCACTAAATACTAAATATGCAGTATTTATAATTCTATATTTACACACGCTTGTTTAATGTTCATATAATCCTAAAGAAGCCGCATGTTGTCTTGCCCGGTAGCGCAAGTTTTCGATACTGGAATTTAAAATGGCGTCCTTGGTAGTGGAAGACGGCGAACCAATAGGGGAAGATATTGGTGGTGCATGTGCAGGGGGTGGGATTCGAATGTGCTCCGGGCGGGAAACTGACGACTGTGTGGACTCTGGTACAGTGGTAGGTGGATAATATGACGGCCAATTATTCAGTTGACTAGCTCCGTTGGTTGGGAAATGAAACAAAGGCATTTGAGGTAGAACTGATGATTGTTGGAATTGGATCTGTTTTTGTAACATGGCACTGGCTAGAGCCTGTTGTTGGAAGTTAAACATTCCTAGTTGTGAAACGGAATACTGATAGGGAACGGGACTACGCTGAGCACCAGATTCTGTAGCTGAAAAATATAAAATAGTTAAAACACATTAAATTTGGAATTTATTTTAAGGATTATGATAAGACATTTAGATATGTGATTCTGAATTTCGTGGTTCATCTTCTGTTTTAATAAATTTAACGCGAAATAGATTAACGCACAGAAAAAAAGTACAATGGACGATATTTATATTTCAGATTCTAACTGCCGTAGATATTCCAGGAAAATATGCATATTTAAATTAAAAATAACAGAAAGAAATGCAAGAATACTCATGCATAAAGATTTTTAAACACATGAATATAAGGGTTATATTTAAATACCGTAATACAGCGGAGGAATTTCCGGCAAATGAGATTTATAGCGCCAGGTTTTTATACCCCCCTCGACAAAAAGGGAATCAGGTCAGAGAAGCTGGGGCATTTTGATTTGGGTAAAATTAAGTAACGTACCTTTATTATTGTAACTATAAGATGGTGATGAACAGGTTAGATGTGGTATAGGTGAGGAAGGTGAAGCAGATTTATCACCATATACATTGTCATCTAATTTACACCTTTCATCTTTATTTTTAATCTCTGGAATTATAATAAAGAATTAAATACATGTAGGATTGCATGTAAATACAGATTAAAATATGTAGTATTCTAGGATTTTCTTTGTTTCTTTCTTGAACTACATTGGCTTTTTTGTTTTTAAACGCTTATAACGGTATAAACCTTACCCATTATTAAAACCGTCATTTTATTGGACCTGGCATTTCTATAAATTGAATAGTTCTAAACCGTTTTAGATTTTGTAAACACACAGCCGGTCATGACATATATGCTAGAGTAATATAACGTATGGGGAAATATTCGCCTTTTCGTTGAGTGTCTCCAATGTGCGTTTTCGCTACAGGCCCAATGGATGCTCACGGAGGGCCCCCGGATCCATGCACTTGATATAATACTTTTGCTGTTAATTGTCTTCTGGGTTTCTGTTTGTGTGTGTGTGTGTGTGGTATAAATGATATTATTTTAAAAACACTTTATCTTGACATTTTCAGGACAACTCATGTCTAGCAAAAAGCAAAGCTCATAAATAAAAAGTTGCCAGGAGAGAGCATGTTGCGTTTTTGAACGACATTTATAGTGCAAGTTCAATAAATCTAAGAAGTAACGTCACTGTTCTATTCAAATGCATTAACATGGAATAATTCAATTTATATCAAAATATATAAAAGTTATTAGCTTTTTAAAATTTTATTTCATACTGTGTTTTTTTCTTGAAAAGGAGTAGTGACTAATTCACTATATGCGGTCTACAATTTCTCCACGTGAGTGGGATAGTACTGAATTATATCCCAATATGTTCGTTCATAAACTGTCATCTTACCTGTTTCCCTTTGGATTAATCCGATAGGGTTAGTAGCCGTGCCACATGGAGACTCTTCATCATGGCTGCCTTCTATAGATTCTACATCCACTGACAAATTGTTATCATCTACCATGTCATTATCTTCTGGTTCACTGAGAATACCACACGGCGATTCGTTACTAGCTAATTCACCACTGCCGTGATCACTACAACCGACTTCATCTTTTCCCACGTCTGCAGTTGCCGGTGTACCTTCAGTGTCATCGCCATCTTCCCTCTTCTTTGATGCTCTCTGCTTCTTTCTGAATTTAGCTCTTCTGTTTTTAAACCAGACCTAAAGTAAGAAGGGACAAATTTATTGGTATAAGTAAAACTACGAAATACTGTTCTTTATTATATGCTGGATTTGAATCAACATCGAAGAGAGACTAAACCCCTTTTTTTGTTAGGGAAGTTGAATGGTCGAATGGTTAGCACGTGCGTGCTGCATCATAAGGTCTGTGATTGAGTCAACTGGCGTGGTTTCGAAACCACGGTTGTACGTGACAAGGAGTAGGGTCGCCTGTCCAACCTCGTGGGTTTTTCCGGGTCCTCCGGTTTCCTCCCACTGCTAAAGACCCCCTATTGTAGAAATAAAATTGAACCAGTGTTAGTCCTGAAATGACCTAGTTTGTGTCGAGTGGACGTTAAACCACAGTTCTCTCTCTCCCTCTCTCTCCCTTTTTTTGGTTTTCGTGAGAAATTGACTGATTGAATGTAAGTACGCTCAGGTTGGTTGATAATTATAACCAATCTTAATGCATTAGTGTACATGTTACCGGAGTTCCACGTGTGGGGTGATATTTGAGTTCGTAAATGGTGGTCTAAACGTGTTTTCATAATATTATTGTTTTCCAATGTAACGTATAAATATGGTTAACGCATTCTGCAAAAAATAACCACAATCTGTTTAATCTGAAACAAAGCATTTTAAATCCGAAAGTTTATCATAGTATGATTTACGCCAAACAAAATATTCAGATCAATATTTTACCTGTATCCTTGCTTCTGGTAAATTAGTCATCATAGCTAACCTCTCTCTCATGACGACATCGGGATAATGTGTTTTACCAAACGTTTTCTCTAGAGCAGCTAATTGTTGATTGGTAAAAGCAGTTCTACTTCGCCTTTGTTTACGATGAGCACCATACCTGGCTTCTAATATAATATCTGTAATAATAAATACATAAATAAATATTATCTTGTTAAAACAGGGTGGTTATTATATTACCTAAAAGGTGCATAAATTGGCAATTGCATAAGTTCATGTATTTAATCTAACCTATTTTGTGTTTTATTAACATTTATTTACAACCGGTCTTACACACTACGATTTGCGCAGTGATACGCTACGATTACACATGTGGTCTTTTGCGTGGGGGTGGGGGTTGTGGGCAAATATGGCTTTTTCTTTGCCGGTAAGACGGGACCTTGTTGATGAGAAAATCACACTGTGTGGGTCGGGCTTTTTTCTTAACTGATATCTGTGTAATATATTGTTTAAAGCATATGTTTAGAATCTAAAGCTATCCGTATAAACTATACAACTTGTCATTGGCACTATATTGACTGTACTTGTTAATCTCGAAACGTCTTTAAACATATTAGATGGTGGTGGAAAAAGTGACAAAACCAAATAACAACAGGTGGCTTTTGAATTTCTGACGTTAGTCTAACTTAGCCATGTAAATCTTAAAGATGATGCTTGCTGCTGACAACTAAGCCTATAATAAAAGTGTCCAACTAACTCGCGTTGCCTTATAACGTCTTTAGCAAATAGGCCGGATACCACTGTATTAAGAAAATAAACGTAAATACATTTTTGTTGCACAGTGTCTAAGTCTGCTCGTGTGCGAGAATCCAGACTTAAGATAGATTGGTTGGTTGTTTGAGGTATAAGATGATGCTTAGCTTATTTTACAACACAGGTGATCAAACTTTAACATCTTTATTTAAATTAACAGGTAAATACTAAAAGTTGTCCAATTTTAAAAGAGGATTAAAAAAACTCATTTTATTTTTCAGGAACACGTTATTGCTTAAGTTTGCTCTGGTACGCATATTTTGAAAAAAAAACAATCACTTATTAGATGACAAAGAACTATAGGAGCTTATTTTTTATTTTTGTACAATAAAAAGAAGAAATTTCATCGACACTACAATAATTGATAATTAATTTTCATATGGTATTGAATTTATTTTTCGTTTTTTTTAAGCAAAGATTATCGATATTATTATAATTGAAACAACTTGTTTTCAGTGCAACAAACTGCAAATATTTGGAATACAGTCAAAATCAACGTTACTTTCACCCTCCGAATGTTTTAAAACAAAATAATATTCATTGCATCACCATTTAGTAAAGTGAACATTTATTATTTATTTTCTACAATACTGATTAATATTTAAAAAGGATCTCAATTGTCCAAAAAGCACCTAAACATTTATATTTCATATAAACGAATATTTGTTTTATTTAATATAAGGATAGTACAAAAAGTGGTGGAATACAAACAAAGACTAATAGAGTATTCACTTCCACTTTCATGAACATGAACTTTAGGTAAAAAATGCTTTCATGGTATACCAGATACTTTCAAAACCGTTTTATACAGACAAAACAATAACTTAAGTAAAAGTTTCTCTAGTAACTATTGGAGAATCGGCTTGCACACACAGTTTTTTTTTACCTGAATAAGGGTAAAGTTTTGTATTTAATTACTCCATAGGTGACATTATTATATAATTTTCGCATTCTCTGTTTCATGTCCTTTAAAAGTCGAGACTTCTCCCTTTATTCTTAAAAACTACTCAGAAATTCCAAAAGACAAATATGGCTCTTGTTTCCTAAGCTTACGGACCCAGTTTAAGATTATCAAACTTCTAATATTTCTAAGAAAACTAATGGCGCTCTTAAAAGTGTACAGTAAATAATTAATTTCCAGTATGTATTTTCGGTGCATTACGCCGGACAACGTTTGCATCCTCAATTTGAAAACCCGTTGAACACCGAGAATCTTAGAGGCAATACCTTTTATAATTCATAAATTAGACTAATGTATTTACCTGCAAGCCTTTCTGCCAAACCAAATGTCTGAACTGTTGGTGGTAAACCGGGGTGTCCACCCGGAAATTGTCCTCCCAGATACAACGGTTGGCTCATTGATGACTGAGAATGAGGAAGACCAAACATAGTCTGTGGATGCGGTAGTTGTAAACCAAATCCTCCGTAATTCTGCATCGTCTAAAAAAGAGAAATGGACCTTATGAGTAGCATAAAACTTGCAGTCACTACCGATGTCCAGGAAATTTGTACGACTTTCCTGCAAATGTGAAAAGTTGGTTTGAAACTAAACAACGGTTAATCACTTAGTGGAAGACGAATAGAAAATACCAAGAAAACAATATATGGTTCATAATTATATAAATATATATTAAATCGTTCCAAACCACTGCTAAAATAAATATCCGAAATGTGAATAAACTTATATAAAAGTTTAGAACCTCATATATGATCCACACAAATTATTTGTCCAATTGCATAAATATATTCATAAAGAAATGACGTAAAGAATCCTTGTAATGGAACTGACATACCATTTTATATGTTGTAGCACAAGAATTAACACAATGCACACGGAACTAAGGTTCAAAAAATTAATAACCACTTTTGCAGACGACACAATGTTATATTGCCACTTTACGTGATCTCCGAGTTAAGTGATTATCCACGTGCACTACTTCGTGTCGCGGAGGTAAATGAGCGTCTAAGAAGAGTAGAGAGTTTTAAGCGACCATGGTAATGAGTGATTGACTTTGGTCGAAACACTAGAGTGTCATCTACCGGTGGCGCATGTCTACTGTTCCAATTGGCAGATAGAAACGGCGATTTACAGAAGCTTAGGCTGTTTGCAACATGCCTCTACAACACTAGCGGCAGATAATATTTATCGGGACCTTTGTCACACGCACGTGCTCCGTCAGATTACCACAGTGGTACATGATAGTGAAATAAGAGTATTTGATTAGTAGAGTAGTTGAGATCGTGTCTATACCGTTTTAAGCCAGATAGCCATTGTTAAAGATGGCCTATCATAGTGAAAACTATGTCAGCTTTTACTCTTACTTTAGTTGTTGACCGTGAAGAAGATTTAACGAATCTGGTATTATGTGATGAGCGATTCAAATGACACCTTACTATTGTTCAGCTAATACGTAGCGGATTTAACACAAAGGCAAACTCGTTAACGATTTGTTCTTCAATCCGCCTTACTTCTTATATCTATTGTTTACCATTTTTCTTCACAAGATTTTTCTCAAATTTATCAATTCCACGAATGTAAAAAAATAAATTTACTTAAGATGAGAAACGTTTAATGATGATGACGTTAGTTTTACACCATTGTTATTTTAAAGGATCGCTAAGTCAACTTTTCTCGCTAAGATATTTTTTGGAAAATGGACACACTATTTTAGATCTATTTGGTTAATAGTTCTGGAAAGGTTTAATATTTATATAATGTCTAGTTCACTTTCATAAAGTCACTACATTCACCTAAATATAATACGAAACAAGGTTTTATAGGTTAATATTGTTTTAACACTCTAATTTACATTTTTAAAAAGCTTGCTTAGTCTCAAATATGGTATCAATATAATTTTGGTATCCATATTTGCCAATAAATATTAAATGTCCTCATAACGTATGTCAACTATGTTAAATGAAAATAAAGTTAACATTTATCTTAACACTAGTTTGTTTGATTAATTTTCCTCGTACATTAAATAATAAAAGAAGCAACACTTTGTGATTGCTTTCCTAATTTTCCTTGTCGTTTAGTAAAACAGGGACTAAATTATACAAAAGCAATCAATTCACCGTGCGAAAAACAAGACAACTAAGGATATTATTTGAGTTCCCTTATTATTAGAATATTCACAGGGGTTACAAGCAAAGAAACAAAATATTCATTGATGATTATAGAATATTTTATTATTATAAAGATTTATAAACAGGTAGTGTTTGATTGAAGAACCGTTCATGCCATGATGTTTCGTAAATGATCAAATTGAATCGAAATATATCACCATTCTGTGTCGTAATGTCCGGTAAAACAACCGGTAGAATGATCAAGATTTGTTATCGGTAAATCTGATGACCGTAGATACCGATGCATCAATAACGACAATTCGAATTTTTTAAAATATTTGATTCCATTTTGCGTAGCAAATATTATATTTCATTCTACGTACCCCTCCTCTACTAAGTACAATTTTTAAATACATAATATAATATAAATAATTAAAAGAATTATTTATTTCATCACTTCAATATATTTTATGTATTAGATATATTTTCAAGAAGCATCAATAATGACGTTTTTGATTTTGGGTTTTTTAAAATTTTATCTTATTTTGCATGACATTTCATTCAGTGGAGAATCGGATGGGCAACAAGCAAATTCTATGTTAAATATTTATATTAGATATATTTTCAAGATTAGTACATCTAAGAAAAAAAAATCCCAAAACAAGTACAATTAATGTTCCGGAAGGCCACGTGTAAGTAGCCTATTTCATTTAAAAGAACAATGGGATATTTTCATTCATTTTCAAAAGCAAATTTTATCTAAATTGTCTTGTGGTAACTGATTAATTTTATAGCATATTATAGCTAAGCTTATTTCTAGCCTTGACAGTTTATTTACTTCCTTTATAAATAAAATAATACGTCAGTTTGAGAAATCGCCACTAAAGCCCTGAGCTGTATAATAATCCAGTACTAAAGGACTTAGACCAGTCTTCCATCATCTTAAAAACTTCCGTTAACATATTAATTATGTCATCATGGCCCATTTTTTCTTCTAGATTTTCTCCTCATTATTATCAGTTTAAATATTCATTTGGTTATATTTATTTATGTACGATAAGAAATTATTTACATTTTATTTTAAAAACATATGAAAGTAATAATATTAAATAACAGAAGACCATGCTGTCAACTCTCAAAGTTTATATTTACGTTCTATGCGAAGTTATTGTCATTAATCAAGTTATTTAGGAGACGAAAGTGTTGACGATATTGATTTGAAATTTAAAATATTTAGCTGAATTCCGATCTTTGTAATCAATGAAAAAAATTTTTTATAGCAATTTTAATGGCATTTGGATTATTTAGTTCATCAGTCGGAAACAAATTATCTTCGAAAAATATATTTTATAAGGTTGAATTCGCTGCAGTAAAGATTTAAAGAGTTCTGATACAATTTAATTAATACGTCATCTGCCTTAAATACTAACAAAATCTTAACCATAAAACAATTTGAAAAATGGGATTGACATTTTAAAATGTTTATTTAAGTTATTATCCCTTTCAACTGTTTTGTAAAGGTGTTAGAAAGCTGAAAAATTATTGAAAAGTGAATAAACTAAAGTCTGAAACATGGCGTAATCTTTCCCGACATAATACTAAAATCGTGTCGATTGCCTTGACATACAAGGTTGCTTCTTAGACTTGTATAATGGTCCTGATTACTAATCTATGTAAAGTTGTTGTTAAATGTTTAAGCTCTATTTTACCGACTTACAACTGTTCCTAAAACAAAAGCCAAGGTTGACAACTTGCTTAGCGTGCTCAATACACCCTCATACCGGATTCTGTCTGAAAATTGTCATATTTGTGCGCATTGTTATTATTATTATTCAGTATTGTTAGAGAGAAAAGGGAGAATTTTAAGTCTGTAACTTGTACACTCTTCGTCTGGAAGAAGAATTTTACTCTGGCTTTTTTCCTTTACATTATGTTAAGTTTCCTAATTCTAGTTAATAACATGTTACAGAGAGGTACAAGCTACAATCTCTGTGTGTTTATAATTTACTTAATTAGAACAACACAAAGAATACATTCTTATTAAACGCAAAATTCTTATAATCCTACACAGAAAAAAAGTTTATGTTTCTGATTTTTAAAAAAATAATTTTCTCATCTTTTCAGGTGTTTCGGTTTTGCAATTTTTACTGGTAATAATTTACAATAATTGTTTATGAATCAATAGGCCGGAACTGGTCTCCGAGCGCTACTCATTTTGTTGTTCTTATTCTTCTGAGGGGGGGGGGGGGGCAACGCTATTCGATAATAGCCCAATGCTCCGCCAATTCAAACACGATTGTGTTTTTAAAAAATTTCTATATGAAATTAAAAATGATCAATATAAATGATCATGCTTTTAAATTTTACTTTATAAACTCGTAAGAATGATTGTGATTAGTTTGGTTTTCTCGTTCGATTGTATTGTGGTTTTTTTTAAAACAGTACATTATGTTTAACTTTATTTTGATCGTTAATTCCCCTTTTCGATAATACGTACATGTATGTTGATATCTTAATACTTAGTGTGATTAATATAAATAACATGAACTGAATGACATCTTTTCACCCCTTACTGTCAAAAGTTTGAATCAACACAAACTGATAGGCGATTTCACATAAGGATCTATATGCCTACCCACCATGCCATCCAGAATAGACAAATCTTAATACCAATGTATACATCACACATCTATATAATAATCTTGGTGAGTATAAACTATGATTCGAACACGGTATATATTTCATAAATGTCTTTAATAACCCTGTTATATGATGCTTTTAATTGGGTGTGTACGCATAGGGCTAACTTTACGATGTCAACACGATTAGCTGAGCAGTAACACTGGAGATATCACCATTGAAATTATAAAAGAATAAACTTGCTCTCTGATACGTGCTAGCGCTGAAAGGCGTTAACAACGTCTTAGAAGGTATTTTCTCTTGTATAATCCATTTGCAAAAGGTGTTAATTTTCGCCTTACATTTACCCGAACATCTCATATTGTATGAACCAACAAGTTGTTGGAAGAGTTTCTTATTATACTTTAAGTTCTTTTACCAAACACTTGAGCGCTTTAAGGACGTGGATTTCTTACGTGATACTTTTCAACTTTTCTCGATTACATCGGATTTGGTTTGGGGGGAGCTTTTGTTGAAGGGGAGTCGATCGTCTTGGTTTCGTCTACAAGCCTCTCGGGTTCCAGCCCGTCTAGTAATAGGCGACTCCACCCACTATCTAATCGGGTGCCTAGCATCGTGTTTTATCAGCTATCAAATATCGCGTCGAACATGTGATTTTAAAAAGGAACAGTTGAACGTGTGTCGTGGGAATACAAAATATATTTAATGATCTGCTTGCACTAGTAAAAGGTGGCATTCGTCAAAGACACCAAGTATGAGACCAGAGCGCGCTTCTAGCGATTAGAGTCGCGGATTTACCCACCTTTGAGCCAGAAAGACACTCTTACCTCGTCATTCGATGAATTTCGGCACTTTGAAGGCGTGTAAGGTTACCTATGTTCATTATCTACCTTTGTTATCACATTATCAAAAGAAAAGCTATAAGTGGGGATACAAATCACGCCTTTGTTAACAGCTCATATCATAATTCAGAAGAGGTCCGAGGCGCGAATTACAAATACTCTGGAGGATCAACTCTTTAGCTTAATGAAAGGTTAATCGCTTCCGTCAACTCTGTATACTAGTAAGGGAACAGATAACCCTTCCTAATACATAAACAATTTATAATATATAAACAAGTGGTTATATAATAATAATATTCCTTAGAGTGTTTATTTAATAATAATAATAATAATATGTACAGCGCAAACACTTGGAAGGGGAAAGCAGAGTGATTGAACACCCAATGACACTTTCACCAATATTTTCTAAACTCCATTAAACATTGCCGAAATTCCATTCTTTGAATATATATATATATATAATGAAGACGGGCATACGCCATACAGTGTGCTATGACGGAAATTTTGCCCGGACAGCGGCACTACGGCCTACTCTTATATCGAATTCCAACTGCCAAGG